TGTTGGCCCTAGGTAACCAATCTTTATATTAAAGTTCCATTCAAGAATCTGGTGTGGCTTTTGCCCCTGCCTACACTCTAAAGCAGTTTATATTTTTAGCCAAAAGCTATCCCTCAGACAGTTTCCTTTCTTAGTAAGTGGTACCAACAGGCCTCTCCCTGTCCCCTACCTTATTTGAGCAAATGTCTTGACATCATTTTTTTTTTTTTTTGAGAAAGGGTCTCCCTGTTAGCCCCAGCTGACCTAGAACGCACTATGTAGACCAGGCTGGCCTTGAACTCACAGAGATCTGCCTGCCTCTGCCTCTGCCTCCCCAGTGCTGGGATTAAAGGCGTGCGCCACCACGCTGGGCTGGACACCATTCTTAACTTTGACCCTTTCCTCAGCCGCCGTGTCCCACAGTGCCACAGCTTTGGCTTCTTAAACACGTCTGTTGGACTGTTTCTCCCTTCATGCTTACCCTGTCAGATCCAGTCATCACCATGCCCCTAGAGAGCCATCACCTCTCTGAGCCTGACCTCGCCACACTTCTGTGGCCCCTCTCCACATTTCTGCCATGTCTCTTCTCTTGCCTCTACTTCATTTGGAAACATCCTCTTCAAGTCCTTATGGTCGATTTTCAAGGTGTCAAGTTTTCTTTGCGTTTTGGGTACAGACAGTTCCCTCTATTAAAATCCTCTCCTGTGTGTGCGTGTGCGTGTGCGTGTGCGTGTGTGTGTGTTCTTCTGTCTAAGTGCATGTGATGTGTGTGGATGTAGAGACCAGAGACAACCTCAGATGTTACCTCTTAGGCCCTGTCCATTTTTTTTTCCTTTAGATAAGGCCTCTCACTGGCTCAGAACCCACCCAGTAAGCTAGGCTGTCTGGCCAGTGAGTCCCAGGGATCTGCCTCTCTCCACCTCCCAGTGTTGGAATGACAAGTGTTCACAACTACAGCTGGCTTTCTAAAAAATGTGGGTTCTGGGGATTGAACTCATGTCCTCATGCTTAAAAGGCGAGCACTTTACCAACTGAATTATCCCCGTAGCCCTCCCACTTGTCTCCCCTTTCACTTGGGTAAAGATCGTTAATCCTTAAATATTATAGAAATACCACATTCATAGAAATGGTTTTGAATCTACTGAACCAGGCTGTTCTCATCTGTTTCAAGTCACAGAAGCAGGTTTGTTCACAGCTTCCCATGAGGTCAGGGCCAGTGCTTCTTCCCAGCAAGACATCGCTGACACCTAATGACCTTTCTGGTATGACGGAGAGTCAACAAGGGTCTGCTGAATTTTGTTGTCTTTTCTTTCACATGCATATCCTGGGAGTTGATTTTGGAGTGCACATCTGTCCTCAGGTGCATAGGAATTTCGGAGAGCAACCTCCTTTGTTTTGTCCTTTTATGTCCCCTGATCTCAGGCTCTCCTTTCTGGGAACCTGCAGTGACTGGGGGAGACTGAACAGGGAGTAGATATATCAGAATTTATTATATTCAGGTGATCTGGAGGCCGGGCGTTACCAACCCTGACATTTGCAGATCGTCCTGTGGTGTCGCACATCTCCCGAGTACCTGGGGCTGGATGCATCTCGGTGCATGGTGCACTGAACTCCAGTGTCCAGTGAGGGCATCACCCTCTGCTTCTAAACAGCATTATGCTACTTTTCTACCCAAACCATTAATGTTCTGGACCCAGGAGCTTGAGCTAGGATGTAGTCATTTTTCATCAAGTTAGGATAAAAATGGGGCAAACAGTTGAGGAATGAATGAAAATAATGAGAAAAAGACTTTTCAAAATTATCATTACAAATAATGAAGAAACAGATGATTTTAAGTAGAAAATGAAAATAAGTGTGACCATGAAGGATCAAGGATGCATATGACCACAGCCTGTGGGAACAGACGGAATGATTCCATCTTCGATTTTGGTTACATTTTTAGCTTTTTCCACTGCATGTGAGAAAGCAGACCGAAAACAACCCTAGAATGTTCATTTCTTTTTATCTTCCAAACAGATTTGACCCAAGGTGGACATTTTCTCTGAGGATAAGATGTCTTCTTTTCCCTCAGCTCAAAGTCTTACCTTTTGGATTGTATTCCACACACGTTCTTCATTGCTCTTTCCTCCTTCGAGGGTGTCCATGGTATCTGCCATTAGCGACTGCAGCTGTGGGGCCAACATAAAAATTATCAGTGTGGAAGTCACACAGAAATAACTTCTCTAAACACACAGATTAAAACCTAATTAAAAAATCATTTGTACGCTGATGATTTTATTACTCATATTTCCCACAATGAACACCACCACCTTGTTCCACTCCAATCATTACTGAGTATTATGGCATGCATAAAATATTGAAACAATGGAAAGATTCTTCCTAGAAATTTGCAGGAAACATATAGGTTTTAATGTAGTACGTGTTGATGTTTTGTTAAAAACAGATTTGAGTTGTAAAGAATGATGGTGGTAGTTAATTCTCCCAGGAAATGGCACACAGTACACGAATGCGTTTTAGTATTTCCTCCTGAGGCTAATGTATCATAATTCTAGTCATTATGAAAAAGCTCTCCAGAGGACAATACTAAAATTGCTGTTTTATTGCCTCTTAAAAAGAATCTCACTCATTGAAACTCTTTTACTATTGTTAAAATTTTGAAATAACTAAGTTTTCCTTTTCTTTTTGGTTTTGTTTTTTAGGTGACACTGAAACAGCCCACTTTGCCCACCAAAATGCCCCCTGCCATGTTCTGATTGAAAACAATCTCATGATCTGGTTGTGATGGTGCATGTGCTAATCTTAGAACTTTGGGGGTGGAGGTAGGGAGGATCAAGAATTCAAGGTCAGCTTCTGTTAACACTGAGTTTGAAGCCAGCCTGGGCTACATGAGGCTCCCTTTCTAAAAAGCACAAAAATAAAACAAATAAAATCCCATAAACTGAGTGGGCATCGCCAGACACACCATAATCCTAGCACTGGGGAGGCTTAGGCAGGAGGATCCCAAGTTTGAGGCCACCTTGAGCCACACAGTGATACCCTAGCTCAGAAACCAAGAATAACAAATCCTGTACACATGGCACACATATGGTTGCACCAGAACATGTGATATTGAAAAGTTAAAGTATTGTCTTAAGAATACTAGTCCTGGAGACTCAGGGAACATCACAGTGAAAAGATGGTCAGAGCTGGAGGACCAAGATGTCTGCTGCTGGATACTGTCTGCATGACATGATAGGGGGACTACCCATGAAACCTCAGCAACATGGTTGCCTAAGGAGACCTGCATAGTGACAATACCAATTGGCATGCCAACATGGATGGGGGAAATGTCACAGGGTTCCATCTCTAGATGAAGAGCTACAGGCACTCAGTGGCTGCTGAGAGAGGGAGAATCCATTTTCTCCAGGCATGAGCTCCCTGACAGGTTATCCAATTCCAAGTTGTCAGTCCTAAACACATGTACACATGGATACCACTAAATGTGCATTATATATATACTATATATGTATATATATGTAACAATAAAGAAGAAAGAGGACAAGAAATTGAGAGGGAGTGGGGGTGTGGGAGAAGTTGGAGTGGGTAGAGGGAGGGTGAAATGATGTAAATACAGTATTCATGATTGAATTTCTCAAAAAAAAATCCAGGTCAGTTCACTGTGGCATCAAATAGTGTGACACTTTAGATAATCTTTCTGAGCTTATGTAGGAGGGCAGAGAACTGAGTCACTCAAATAGCTTCTGTTGAGCAGTCGTCATTTACATAGTGTCCTCTGAGGTTGGATTAGGATTTATTTTCTAGGTTAACCCATACTTAGGACGGAACTGTAATAGGAATGTGACTGGGTCTGAGCAAGCTTGGTGGGAACAGGGTTGAGTGGGAGCCTCACTGCCAGGAACCATCAGACTCTACTGCTGAAGACATCTGGGTAAGTTCTCTATGTACCCCTTGGTACTTCTGATTGACTGACTGGCTGACTGACTGACCGACCTACTATCTACCTATCTGTCTATCTATCTATCTATCTATCTATCTATCTATCTATCTATCTATCTATCTATCTATCTATCATCTATCCATCCATCCACCTACCCACCTACCTACCTTAAATTGCTGGTCCCAGAAGTCTGTAAGACTCTGTTTCCATATGATTATACACCTCCTCCCTGGCTCTTACAGTCTTTCTGCCCCCTCTTCTGCAATGGTCCCTGAGCCCTGGGTGAAGTTTAATATAGGAGTCCTATCCAGGGACCCACATAGAGATGCTGGAGCAGCTGTTAAAGGCTCAGGCTCACAACCCAAAAGAAGACTAGAGATTAAGTCTTAATCCCCTCAAGTATTCATATATATTGGCAGCACCAACACGAGAGAGAGAGAGAGATAGAGACAGAGAGACAGAGAGAGAGAATGTAATGTATCTGATAAATCAATAAAATGTTTATTTGAGGGGAAAGCGTAGTTAGGAAAACAATGATTTTTTTTAACCGAATACACTAGCTAACTCAGAAAAGCAGACATTTTGTTCTTATGCAGAATCAGTCAGAAACTACTTAAAGGAATAGGCCAGAAACAATCTTCAAACAGACGTGTGCATTATAGTCATAATTAGTATTAGAAATTACAGCACCTCATTTGAAAAGTCATTATTGAGCAGTATGCTGCCCATTGAAGGAGTGGTATGGAGAGCTTGCTGTGTTGTAGGGAAGGGCTCTTTGCTTTGAAGCTTTAATTGAGAGAAGCCAAAACTAATTATGGACTTGAATTGAAATCACAGCACAAGGATGGCAATGGCAAAAATCGATTACCTGTAATTTTCAGATAACTAAAGGAACCCTCCTCCCTCTTTGAGCTTTTACAAGTGTAACCAAGAAGTGAGTGGCCAGCATTTATAATATTCATCTAGACTTGTTTAAAGTGTATTAAATAAATACTGATACTCAGAGTAAGCATATGAAATAGTCTGCCTAGCCCAATAAAAATACAATTCCTGACGAAGATGAAACCAATGAAATAAGTCTGTTAAGGAATCACTATGTCAGAACTGGTGATAATACTCTCCAATTCTTCATGGTGGCATGCAAAGGAACACCTAAAAGGTGGTGTGTTCACCCTGGTGTTCAGTGGTGTGGTCAGTGCAGAGATTTCAGAGTATTCTATAGCTGATTTTAGATGATTAATGCTGGTCCTAGATAAGAAGAAGCAAAAACAAAAAGTCGATTTGGCTACCTAAAAAGCTCATTTGAGATTTAAATGAAAAAATACAGAGGAGCTGTCTGCATGGAAGTCTCCTGAGTATCCTTCCTTCCTTCCTTCCTTCCTTCCTTCCTTCCTTCCTTCCTTCCTTCCTTCCTTCCTTCCTTCCCTCCTTCTACTTCTAGGAAAGGGGAGTAAGCACGTCAAGGAATTGCCACTAGAACGTAATCTCTCTGAGGGCTAAACATGCTCATGTGAATTCCCAGTGCTTTAGTAGGCACTGAAGAAGTCAGCTTCCTTCCTTCCTTCCTTCCTTCCTTCCTTCCTTCCTTCCTCCTCCTCCTCCTCCTCCTCTCCCTCCCTCCCTCCCTCCCTCCCTCAAAATCTTTTTGAGACAAGGTCTCCCAATAGCCCCAATTGGTCTGGAACTTACTATATAGACCAGTCTGGTCTTGAACTCACACAGATTCACTGGCCTCTGCCTCCCAAGTGCTGGGATTAAAGGTGTGTGCCACCATGCCTGACAGAAATACTTACTTTTCAAAATACACACAAAGGGCTCAAAACCAGCATCATTGGTATCCCTTTCAAGTGTACGATGTTTTCAGTATCTAAAACCTTAGAACAATCTAAAACTTTAGAAATGGGATATCATGGGATATTTTAATAATTTATATACTCCCCAAATTTTGGTAAAGATAATAGATGATTGATAGATAATAGATGGTTGATAGATGACACACACTTCACTTTAAACAAAAGCTTGATAACCTATCTATCTCTATATGAAATAATCATCCCTTTCCTATGTTTTTAAACATTATAAAGTGCTTGCTATATAAAAATGGAAACTAGTCAAATAGATCCAGACTGCCCACATTTCCAGTTTCTTCATCTGAATGCTGAGGACTGGTGGCTCCCTTCAGACTGCATTTATTACCACAAGTCTTTTCAGACCCTATCATTCTTCTGTTGGCTCAGGGCCTGTGAAAGCCTTAAAGAGAAACAAATACTTACCAATTCCACCTCCTGTTGACTGATGTCCTGGAGATAGGGGATGGTTGCCAGCTCTGCCATTGCTTGATTGATCACCTGGGCCTGTTCCTTTACTCTCTGCAGCTGGCTGAGGAGGCTGGCGTATTGCAGCTTCTCCATCACACCTGAGCATACGTGGAAATTCCCCTAGTCTCATAGGAAAAAAAAAGTATTTCAGAACAGGACAACAGACGCAGACCTTTCTCTGGAGACCAATGTCAGGGCGGGGCATAATATATTTATGTCTTTTGAAGCAAGTCCATAAGTACACGTCTCAAACCTGGTACAAGTGCATGCTCCCTTCTATCATTTTGGAAAGTCTCCACATTTTCTCACATAGGTGAATAGATGTGAAGGATGGCTCTTTGCAGGACCCTTGAGATGAGCTCACAGTTGTCCTGCATGAGGGATTGAGGCTAATGTAAAAAGACAGGACTGAAATTGTACCTGTGTTTTCCTCATTGTTGTCTCATAGGGCTGTGACCTCTTATTGGTGACTTTATCTACATTCTCAAAGCATCAGACCAGCAAAGAATTATCTATCTTGTTTATAGCAAAGGTAATCTTTATGCAAGTTGAATAAAAAACTCTGCTTTTATCTTTGGTCCACTTTATACACTGGCCCCTGTTCTGATAGCCATTCACTCTAGCTCCTAAGGTTATTTCAATAATGGACATAATCCATCTTGAAATAGATTACTCTGCCCAATTGTGAGGTCCATCCTCCTGATAAATCTGCTGGAATCTTTTTTTCTTATATTTTATTTTTCATTTTTATTTTATATGTATGAGTGTATTGTCTGCATGTATGTAAGTGCATCTGTATCATGTAGTGCCCACAGAAGTCAGAAAAGGGTGTCAGATCCCCTGGACCTGGAGTTACAGATGGTTGTTAGCCACCATGTGGGTGCTGGGACTTGAACCTGTGTCCTCTGTAAGAGCAGCCAGTGCTCTTAATTGCTGAGACATCTCTCCAGCCCCAACCTACTGGTATCTTAAGCTTTCTGAAGATAGGGCAACTTGGAATATGATGCGCCCCTGTGCATTTGCTACTGTCAAATTATGAAGTTAAATATGAATTGCAGTGCTTGGTAAGAGAGACGGAATTATAAAATTCTCACGTTTCTGTTTAGGAAAATGTACTTCTCTCATATGGGGCCACATCAGGGTCAAAATAAAAGCATTGGGTGTTTTCAGGGTACTGAGGGTATTTGGCAGTTACATTCTACATACTGGTGCTCAGAAGAGCAAGGCTGGTGAGCAGTGTCTTTTATGGAAGGATTTCTGGACCAGCTACACCAGAGTCTCTGGGATTGTCGTCCAGGCAGTTGGCATTGCCTCTCTTCACTCACTGGACCACTATGTCTTGCTGTGTAGCCCTAGAGATCTGAATGATGTAGGTGCTTTCCCAGATACTCAGATATCTCAAACAGAAGCCTATGAGCAAATAACTTCCTTGCAGCTTGGTATCTGATATGGATGGTTTTAGTTTGTGAATATGTATCAAACAGTCCCTTGAGAGGAGATGTATGATTTCTGTTTCTCAAAGAAAATTTCCTCTAAAGAAAAATTGTTAGAAACAAGCATTACTAAAAGATCATCTGAACTTCAACTTGAAATTAGAAAGCAACTTTCTGAAATGTCATGTGCACACTTTGATTGATAGCAAGCCCTAGATGCTGACATTTTTCTGGAATCTTGGAAATGAATGAAGGTTAGGCATGCCTACATTCTTTTTTGTTTGATTTCTCCCAGATGCTCGCTTGTATCATTCAAGTGATGCCCCCGCTATTCTAATTTATTGTTTCTGATTAGTTATTTATATGAAAACCTACGAGCATCTAGGAGTGATGATTCCAAGTGGTGGACATGAGATCCCTCACCCGAACTGATGAAGCAGCTAACCCACTATTCAGTTTCAACATGTCGCTAAACAATGGTGCTCCGTCAAGGAGAGGAAAACGAGCCGAAGACAAACAGTTTTCTTTCTGAAGAAAAATTGCTTTCTTGGGTCCTTCTTTGAAAGAAACAATGGGGCTAGTTGTAGGGAAGTGGAGTAGTGACTCAACTTGAGAGAACAGAAACAACTGCAGCTTGCTCGGGAACATAAGCTATTAGTGTAATTTTCCAAAACATCAGGAAAATAAAAATAGTGGAAGGCGACAGCAGTTTGTTAGCCTGATTGTTGGATGCATAAGAAAACAGAAAGTGTGCCATATGAACAAGATGCTGGGAGAGAGCAGGGTTGACTGCTGATAGTCACTGTCCCTCTCCTCCCCTAGCCAAGGGCAGTTTTGCCTATCAGGAAGCTGTTGGTCAATATTTTAGGTATTCAGGATGGGTGCTTTTGAAATACCAAATGAAAAAAAAGAAATGTCAATATCAAATGTCAGCAAGGGATGTTTTAATGCTATTGCTTTAAGAAAATCAAAGAAATAATGAGAAATGAAGGAATTAAACATCCAGTGCTTGCAAAGGGTAAATCTGAAGGGAGTTAACTCTCCCAGTGAGGCTTTAGGAGCCATCAGATAGCTCCTCAGCTGCTGGAGAGAGGGCAATAAAGTGGTCAAGACTGGAGGTAAAACCTCACACCAGTGCAATGAAGGTTAGGCAAATAGCAAGATCAAATGAAGCCTTCAGGTGGAGAATCACCTAGATTTAGTAGCAGTTATGGATGAATGTCAGGTAAATAAGTGCTACTCTAGACCTCCGTGAAAGGCAGAACCCAACTGTTTGGAGTGTATTTCCATTTGGTATAATATATAGAAACATTAAGTGCAAAGGGGGAGGGGGTAGGAACCACACACTCGTTTCAAATGTGCATATGTAAACAGTTTGTGCTTCACTTGGAAGACATGAAAAGCAAAATTAATGAGGTATTAACAACATGGTTAGTTAGGTCAGTTTTTGGCAAGTCACCCTGTGAAGGAGGCTTCACACATGGCAAGAGATTTTATGATTTTATGATTCTTAAGCATTTAGCTCAGAAGCACAGTGGGAAAGAGTCCAGACTGACAGCAGCCAGTTTTAATGAGGGGAGGGAAGAGGGCACTATCCAGTGTAAGCAAACTCAATAGGGTCAAAATCCCGAGAAAGGGAAGAAAATCCCCTACAGCAGGGAGGCCTGGGGAACGGGGTTGATGTTCAGTAGAGTTACAGGCCACCAGGAACATATGCAATACTTTAGAGCTTATAAAATGCCAGAATCATCTTTGCTTGGCCATGTGTTGTGTGTCTAGAAAAGCCTTCTATAGAGACTAGTAAACTTGTGTCAGAGTGGAAAGGACATCACTACCCGAAACACAGGAACCTCCCTCAGCCCAGGGAAGGACTCTGTTTCTACCAGTCTACCAAGTGCTTTCACAGTTAATATTGTGAGTGGAATCTGTTTATATACTTCAATGTTCATTTAAAGACATGTTTTATTTTCAATCCTCTGTGTGTGTGTGTGTGTGTGTGTGTGTGTGTGTCTAGGTGAGTACAGATGCCAGTGGAGGCCAGACGAGGGCACCAGCTGGTCCCCTGAATCCAGAGTTTTAGGTGATTGTGAGCCACCAAACACAGGTGCCGGGAACTGAACTCAGATCCTCCTCAAGAGCAGTGCAAACTCTTAACCACTGAGGATCTCTCCAACCCCTTCAACATTCATTAGATGAACCCAACTATGGAATACCTTGTCATGTTGTTTTATTTCAAAGAGATGCAATATGTCTTAATGAAAGAGTACTGGGATAATTTGCTCTAGCTCAGATTTTGTGCCCAAGCTGCTGATCTTCTAGCTGTGTGAATGTGACTGTGTTACCTCTTCAAGCCATGGTTTCCTCACTGGTAAAATGAAAGTAGAGATGCCACAAATTGAGGGTCAGACTAGAGAGTGTGCGAAAGTATGGTTTCCACACTGCAGAGCTTCGGTATCGAACTCCTATACCCTAGTTCCCAAGACGAACTGCCTAAACACAGCCCGCCCGTTTAATAACCAGCGATGCTCTGTCTTGTTTAGAAATGTTTGGGTTAAGACAATTTCTTGATTGTGACACATGGAAGGGCTTTAGAAGAAAGCAAGCTTTAGAAAACTTTGTTCTTCATTTTGTATTTAGTACGCTTCTGTTGAAGATATATTATCCTAATTTCATACGTTTATTTTGTGGCGAACAAAGACACACACCTTTTATTTTATTGGAGGAAAATTTAAAACTAGAGCAACTGAGTGAAAGAATTCCCAGTGATATTATTTTAGTGTTACTGTATTATAATAATTTAGTGTATTGCCAAGTTAACTTTTTTCCTAATTAAGGATGCTGGATGGATACTATAATCCTTATAAACTATGAGGTTTAGGAAAGTGACCATAAGAATTCTTGGAATTGCCTAAGTATTATTTAGACATCCATATATTTATCATCATTTATGTGACAATATAAATGTGGTAATGATTAAAAAATTGTATAACTGGTTCTGGTCATGTTATGCCAAATACTAGCATTGTTTTTTGGGTCTCTTGAGTTATGAATGCTAATGCTGTAATGTATATTATTTTCAAAGTCCAAAGCCATTTACATCAAGGAACATTGTCAAAATGAGTTAAAAAAAATCTGAGCATATATGACACTATGTATCTTTCTTAGCTATTAGAGATGAAAAGATAGATGCCCTGAATGGGTGATCTGCCTGAGTGGGCCACGAGAGTCATGCCCAAGTCACCACTCAAGAATGATCGAGAAATCTGAGGTTCTTTAGGATAGATGAGTTGCAGGAGGCACTGGTTGCTGACTTCTAGTGGCAGTGGCTCAAACCGCTGGCTCCGTCATCCTGAGATGCTGATCAGCTTGTGGTCAGAGGCTTCCCTCACTGAGACCGCAGGCCTGAGACCAACTCCCCTATGGGCAGCAGATCTCCATGGCTGGAGATGCCACCTCCAACCCTGCCTTCGTGAAGTGATCTGAGCGAGTCAGGGATTGAAGGGAAAGAACTTGAGGTTCATGGGACATGGGTGCTCTCTTCATAGTAGAACAATGTGTAATGTCAAAGTATAGAGGATGTATAAAGAAAAAGACCTGTGAAACCGTCCTTTTGTTAAAGCAAACCCAAGCCAGTGTGAGCAATTACAGTGTCTATGACCTGAGTACTTTACAAAGCATTTCCACATGCCGTATGTACTTTCGGTCTCTGTGAGGTGAGCCTGGCAGACATAAGCCTATTCCATCAACCAGAAGAACCAGCTCAGAGGCTAAGTGACTTGCCATAGGCTCACATGCCCAGAGCCCATGCTTGGGCAAACTTAGGCATCCAAAGGTGTCAAAGAATAGGGCAACAGTATAGACAACACAGTACCTACTGATTCATGTGGTGTCCAAGCACAGGAAAACACCAGTAGGAACCTAAACACAACTGAAAACTGTATCACAGTTAATGGTACCAAGTAGGAGTAATTTCTAGTCACTAGTTCATCATTTGCTTCGTTACCTTTGTAACCACTTTTTATTCAGTCCTGCTATATGATGCTGTGATTGGCAAAGAAAAAACCTGGAGACCAATGTTTTGGAAGCCAAAACCTCTGACTCTGGGAACCTTGAGACTCAACTCACGTTCCTTCTATTAAAACTGTTTGAGACAGTCTTCCTCAAACTGCTGTTTCCCACAGAAGCAAGCACAGGGAAGTTGATATTATTTACAATTAGATAGGCAGAGAGGGAGAGGCACGGATGAGAACAAAAGCTCTGGTCTCTATTGTTCTGAGACTGATTCTACAGCAAGAGAACCCATTATTAATTAGATATTAAGAATCTCATTTTTCAGGGCTGGAGAGATGGCTCAGTGGTTAAGAGCACCAGCTGCTCTTGCAGAGGACCCAGGTTTGATTCCCAGCACCCACATAACCATCCATAACTCCAGTTCCAGGGGATCCAACGTCCTCTTCTGACCTCTGCAGGCCTTGTACGACATGGACACCCCACCAGGGTGACACACAGGCATACAGGCAATGCACTCATACACATAAAATAAATACATAAAAATTAAAAAAAATGTCCTTTTCAGATCCATAAAGATATACTCTTACATAAATTTCCAAGTTCTCAAGACAGACTTTGGAAGGTGAGAAGGAAAGCGGTTAAGAACTCTGATCAAGCGCATGGTGCCTAGACCCAGCCTGGGATCATGCCATGCCGTCCCAGCCAGCAGCAGATTATGTTGTCAGTTTCTAGACACATAACAAGCTAAGACAGGTGTTGCCCCAAAGACCCAGAACACAGGTGAATCCATTCCACAGGGCTCAGCACCCATGCCCACCAGGGTGACCAGGCACTGACAGATCCCTTCCATAGCGCCCAGCATCCAGGAGGCCAGGCTAGCCAGGTAATGAGGTCACTTGTTGCTCATAGTGATGATTCTTAGTAGCAAAGCTTCCTTTCACTGCTTCTAGTAACCTGATGATGACAATAATGGAGTGTGTGTGTGTGTGTGTGTGTGTGTGTGTGTGTAAGACATTTTGATAAAGGGTAAATTACAGAACAGGGCTCAAACACAGCTAGTGAGATAGATACAGATGGAACGTGCCACTCCCCAGTTTACACATTTCATCTTGATTTTCAATGTGATCATGTAGGAGATGAGGCCTCTCGGAGGTCATTAGGGCAAGATGAGTTTAACTGTCCTGGTTAGTGTTTATTGTCAATTTGACATAGGCAGTCACCTGGGAAGAGGTTATCTCAGTTGATCAAATTGGCCTGTGGCCATGTCTGTAGGGAACTATGTGGGATGGCCCAGCCCACTGTGGGTTTTGCCACCCCAGGCCAGGTGGTCCTGTGTTGTATAAGAAAGCAGGCTGAGCACAGGCCAGGGGAGCAAGCCAGTAAGCGGTGTTCCTCCATGGTCTGTGCTTCAACTCATGCCTCCAGATTCCTGTCCTGAGTTGGGGTCCCTCAGTGATGAACTGTGACTGGGGAGATGTAAGCTAAATAAACCCTTTCCTCCCCAAGTTGGTATTGGTCAGAATGTTTTGTCACAGCAATTGAAAGCAAACTAGAACACTGCCCCAACTTCCCACAGTGGTGGACTGCTACCTAGAAGTGTAAGTGAAAACAAATCCTTTCTTTCCCAAGTTGTTTTTGGTCATGGTGTTTGTCCTAGCAATAGAAAAGCAAACCAGAACATGGAGGGGTTAGTGACCTTTCAAGAACAGATGCCAGAGCTTTTACCCCTCCCCCAATGTGGGAACACGGTGCAAAGGCAGTATTGTCACTGGAGCCGCACCCTGCTGCCCACCTTGATCTTGAGAAACGCACTACAGAACCATGAGAAATTAAATTTCTCTTGTTAAGGTACCTGATCTAAGGCATTTTGTCATGGCAGCCTGAGTCAACTGAGATAAAGGTGAATTTCTTATCAGTGGAGATAGAGGGGGATAACTGAGTGGAACTTGGTTGTGGGGAGGGAGGAAGTTTATGGTAGGAAAGTCGGCTAAGAACAACCTTTTAAAAATATTCATAACATATAGAATTAGAAATCATGCAAATAGATTGGGCATTTTACAACTTTTCTAAAATGCCAGGTAATGTTAGTGAGCAGGTAATTGCTGAACAGATGTTAAGTAGCTGCTTGTGACGACCCCCTTGGTTCCTCTCTGAGGGTGAGAACATCAAATCAGTGATGCACTACAAAACCACAAGAAGAAAATTCTTTGAGTTCCAACTTAAGGCCTTTTGAAAAATATTAAAGGGAGAGAAATCTGCATCTTTTATAGCCCATTAATGAGAAGATCTCTTTACATATTCTCAGTGTGATGGCATAAATTTTGTAAAAGAGCAGCATATAATTTGGGTGATATTTTGACTTTTTAAGGAATGAAAAGGGGGAAAAAGCACATTTTCCTTGGATCTGAGAAAGGGATTACATCATTTATCCGAAGGCCGTACAATGATCACTGGCAGTGTTTAGCCTCATGGGGAGGTGCACAGGCAGGAACTTGGAAAGCCCATTGGTTCTCTGCAATGGCTCAGTAAATGAAATAGGGAAAGCAATGTGCTTGACAAAATTTTGATATTGATTCAAAATGAAAATTTCACTGTAACCTTGACTTAGATAATAGGAAGGCAGCAAGAGAAAACCCTCTTCAGCGAGACATTAGCGTAATATATACTTGAAACTGGAGTGCGGCATTGTGATGTTTTAGAATGCAAGACGAGCAAAACCATTAGGTAACATTTGTTTGGTTTTGCAAATGGGATTTTCTGTGAATATTTCTCAAAGACCCCAACACTTGCAATATTTACTCTCTAATCTTTCTGTACTCCTAGAATTCTCTGATGTTTAGTCACTGGACAAAAATAAAGACTCATATACCTACATTCAGTTGGGTGCCTCTAATAAAGTCCAGTATGGGCAGGATTCGCTTTTCCAATATCTCCATGTGTCGGGCCATATCTTCTCTGGTCAGCAGACAGAAAGGAGTTTTATTTTCTAGAAATTATAACAATAAATTTTATACTATTTTTTTTTCAGACTTCCTTTTCAAAATGCTTTCTTTAGCGAGATATAAACAGATACCTTGATATTAACAGATAAGAAATCTTTAGTATAGAAACTCGTTCCATCCCTGGACCATATGTGTAACAATGAAGGATCTGTGAGGATTAAGGCAGAGGACACATTGCCCTTTAGAAACTGCCATTTATTCATTTTGTTGTGTTTCTCGATTGAGAGATCTAAGAGACAACCTGTGACAATTCGCTTATCTCGGCAGAATATGTTTTTCCTGAGTTGTGAAAAAATTTTGTCATAACATGTCTGATGTTTGTCTTGTCTTTTTTTGGGTGTTATTCAAGTGTGCGAATGCTGTTGGCTTTGAATGTGGCTCAAGGCTGAGATAAGCCTCACAGGATACAGCATCAGACAAAACACAAATTCTTAATTATGTGGTTACAGCACAAGGAATCAATTCAATCCAGCCATGAATTCAGTCTGCAAGTTTGGGACTTCATGTAAATATCTGTTTTATTTTTGAAAAATTTAACCAGAATTAGTGAATGCTATTGAACTATATACTCTTTGTGATTTTTAACTCATGACTATTACATGGTGAAAGAGTAGAACAGATGTTAACACAGTGGCAGATATGCCAGTGACTTGGAGTTGCAATTGGCTATATTTTCAATTTCATACACTAGTCCTACTGCGTAACTGTCTTTCATATTTGTTAACTGATGATAAAAGCTTGCATTACTTTTTATGCTTTGCCATTTTTTATGAGTGTGTGTGTATGTGTGTGTGTGCGTGTGCACGTGCATGCATACGTGCATGTGTGTGATGGATGCCTGTTTCATTTTTGTGTATGGGTGCCTGTGTGTGCAGGTGTAGGTACAGGAGGACACCAGAGGTTGATGTTTTGAATCATTCTCCAGTGCTTGTCCAGGTTACTCATTGAGGCAGAGTTTCTCAATCAAACCCAGAGCTTACTGATATGGCTAGTCCTGCTAGCCAGGTTGTTCTGGGGATTCCCCATCTCTGCTTTCTGGGGCTGGATTTGCAGACAGGCCACTAAGCTCACTCAGCATTTCTGTGGGTTCCGTCAGTCATAGCTTTGGTCCTCACGCTTGCGGAGCAAGTGCTTTAATGCTGAGCCATCTCCCCAGCCCCCCACCCCGAATCTGTATTCTTGATGGCTACAACAGGCAATGTTGATGGTAGTGTCTGGAATGGGATGGTTGGTATGAGTGGGCAGGCGCTCCAGGCTCATGTGCATTCTTTGGGGAAAGCTCCTTAGAAATCACAATTCCATGTACTGCTAACCAACCCACAAAGAAAATTGTAAATATTGATTGGTGTGTAACAAGAAAACATTTCTTGGGCGGGGGGGGGGGACTAGACCCTTCTACAAGCTAGGTTTTGTGATGAGTCAGACCTGAGGCAGAAGACAGCTCCACACTTGTACCTTTCTTGGAAAGTAAGTTCAGGTTCCACTCACCTGTAAAAGCTGGCAGCTTCCTACTTGATAATTTTTCTAAAAATTTCCCATCACCTTTGTTTTTGAACCCAAGAGTCAACAGATATTGTTGGGGAGGAAAATAGGACCAGTCGGCTGTCTGAGGCAATACGTGCAATCCTTGAAGATCTGAAAAATGGCAGCAAAAAAAAAAAAGAAAAAAGATTATGTTTTAGTTCTGTTTTTTTTCAGGTCTCCTTCTGTCAGTTTAGGCATTGTACCTGAAAAAAATGATAAATATAAACATCAAAAGGTCAAATTAAAATCATGTGCATCAAAAGCATAAGTAGGTAATATATACCATCACGATCCATTATTTCTATTTTTCTTAGTAATGTAAACACAAATAGTAACAAGATATGGGTAGATTATATTGTCATCTTTTCCTATGTTAATAATAGACATCCATGGCCAACCTACAGGCAGAATTGTTTTTCTAAATATCTTGATTTTGTGTCCTAGTTGAAGACTAAGGGAACTTCCTAATGTTATATAACAGGAAAGAGAAAATAACCAAGTGAGAATTGAAATAGATGGTGTACTGAGAGAACTAGGCACCTGCATGCAGAAGAATGAAAACAGATTTGCTATCTCCAACCCTGCACAAAAATTGGTTCAGAATGGGTCAAAGACCTTAATGGAAGACTTAAAGCTCCAAAACTACTAGAGGAAAACGCAGGGAGCACACTTCACGATGCACGTGTAGGCAAAGCCTTTCTGCAAAGGACTCCAGTAACCCAGGAATGAATCCCCCAAACTGACGAATGGGATGATGTGAAATTAAAAGACTTTTGTACAACAAGGGAAATACAAGCCATATGAAGGGACAGCTGCAGAATGGGAGAAAGTATTTTCCAACCACACATCAGACAGGAATCAATATGCAGAATATGTAAAGAACTGCAAAAATTAAACACCAGTTCCCCCAATTTTCTTGATCAGACAGTTCTCAAAAGAAGAAATACAAGCGGACAATAAATATTTGGAAAAATGTTCAACATCCTCAGCCATCCAAGAAATGCCAATTAAAACTTCCTGACTGTCTCTGTCACCCTGGTCAAAACATCGAGAAAACAGCCTGCAACCAACCCTGACAAGGATGTGGGGAAAGAGGAATGCCCACTCACTGCTAGTGAGATGTAAATTGGTACAGCCACTATGGAAATCGGCATGGGGGTTTCTAAAAAAGCTAAACTTGGGTTACCACATGACCTAGCTATAGTACTCTTGGGTACCTACCCAAAGAACTCTAAAATGAACACACTGCTGAGGTATTGCACATCCGTGTTTACTGCTGCACTATTGTCAGCAGCTAAAAATGAATGAAGAGAATGGAACACAGTGGAATTTTATTCAGTCATAAAGAAAAATGAAATCATTATGGTAAGCAAAATAAGCCAGACTCAGACAAATATACATTATCTCTCATGTGTGGACCCAATATTTAAATTTGTGTGTGTATATGTATGTATGTGTATCTTGAGACTAGAAAGGGGACCATAAAAGGACAAGAAGAGACATTAAAGTGAGGAAGAGATGGTTTAGAATACATGTGACACAAAATCAGAAGATGGTTATTTGTGAAGAGGAAGGGGACCAGCAGGCTGGGGAAGCAAGACAACAGAGGGTAAGAGGGGAGGACACAAACAACGTGTAAATGAAATACCACACTGAAACACAATACTTGTATGCTAACTTGAACCAGACTTATAGAAGGTAAGAGTTTCATGTGGTAACTGCAATGACTATTCTACATAGATTTGGAAATAATCCAAGTGTAGTGAACACAGTTCTAAAACAATCTCAGTCCCTAATGGCCACAAAAGCTGATGTTGACTGAGCATGTCGTTCTTCCTGTCAGTGATGTTAACAGTTGGGTGTGTGTTGTCTTTAAGACAGATGGTGCTCCCTCCACTTTAGGGACAGAAAGTGGAGGCACCTGTATGGGAATGAACACAGCCTTGAAGTGAGCAGCACAGCACTTATGCCCACAGCCTACTTGCAGTGGGGGTCTGTCTGCTGTGTTCACGTCATGATGGCTTGGCTCTGCGTTGTGTCTGGGAAAAGACAAGGTCATCCCTGGGCTTCTGAAGGCCAGATTTACAAGGCCATGTTGATTTTATTTTTTTAATTTTTTATTTTTTTGCTCTTTTTGATTTTAGAGTTCTTTAGGTATATACCACCCTTGTGGTGACCCAACCCTTGTGGTCTCTCTTTTTTAGAGACCCCCATATGGATTTCCATAGTGGCTATACCAAATTATATCTCACTAGTGGTGAGGAGGCATTCCTCTTTCTCCACATCCTTGTCAGTGTTTGCTGCAGGCTGTTTTCTTGATGATAGCCATTCTGACTGGGGTGAGATAGACATTTAGAGCAGTTTTAATTGGCATTTCTTGGAAGGCTGAGGGTGTTGAACATTTTTTCAAATATTTATTGTCCACTGGCATTGCTTTCTTTTGAGAACTGTCTGATCAAGAAAATTGGGGGGATTGGTGTTTAATTTTTGCCTTTATTTTGAGCAGCAAGACTTTGTTTTGTTATAAAACTATTTCTCAAATGGAAATAAGTGAATAAGTCTTCTCTGTGCAATACTGCCAGAGAAGGGGAAAGGCAACAATCCCCAGTATCTTGGAATCATAAATATAGGCATATTCTTTAAGTTTAAAATCTGCAGCAGAGGGGCTGGAGAAATGGCTCAGCGGTTAAGAGGACATGCTGCTCTCTCAGAGGACTGGAGTTCAGTTCCAAGAACCCATGTTGGGTGACCCACAACTGTCTGTTACTCCAGCTCCGAAGGATCTGAAGTCCTCTTCTGGCCTCCACATGCAGCTGCATGTGTGCAGCATGCATGCACACGCACATGCGCATGCACACACATGTGCATGTGCGCGCGCAGACACACACATGCATGTGCATGCACAGACACACACATGAGCATGCACACACACACACACAGTGAAGAAAAACCAGCAGAGACTCACAGATGTACCATGTGTTGTTAGTTCTGTTCTTGGAAACTGAGAAGCCTTGCAATTCAGCATTTTGGCATTACTAGTGTCAAGCCTAGGCAGATGTGTGGGACTCTATTACACAGATAACGAGAAGACTTGGAGAGGTTGGTTTCTTGCCCTAGAGTATTTATTGATGGAAGAGACCAGTATTAATATGAGAAGGAATAGATGAACTAGAAT